GGACATACTTATACCAAAAAAAAAAAAAAATCTTTTTTTATCGGAAATTCAAATTTAACCAGGAAACCTCTTTTTAATCTGGCATCTCTGAACTTGGGTAGAAAAAGTTCTTCAAACACCTTTTTAGTTATCAGCTTCTTAAATAATCTTGCATTTATAAGGTATTAGATGCAGCTTAAATAACTATGAGTCGAAGAAAGTGTACTGATTGTTATAAAGCATCACACATAACATGGCTATGAATCCCTGCAGCACAGAGGACCCTACAATGAAAAGGCTTTCCTGCCAGACACTCCTTCATTCCGAGGGACCATGAACTTGACTTTAACTGTTTCTTCTGGAAGTTACATGTACCTCAAAAAAAAAAATAATAATAATAATAAGCTTTTGCTGCTATTTCTTTTCTTGGGGACTAGAGTTGTGATCTGCTGGTTTCCTGCTCTGTATTTAAAGATGGTAATAAGTTTACTTTAAAGAAATTGGCTGGCTCCCACGTGCAAAGGGATGTTTTAAAAACTGACCCAAATCGTTCCCGGTTATCCGTGTTGCGTAATCGTCACACACCGTGTGTATTTTCATTTATCATTTGGGTTCACCTGGGGACGTCCGCGCACTGAGCCAGCATCACCCAGCCCTCCCTCTGCCCTGCAGCTACCAACAGAGGTTTTCTTTCAGTTGTCCTGCACGTTCCCTTCTTCAGTGCCTTGAAGTGGCGCGTCTTCGCTGTCACTCCCCGCCCTCACCTTCCGACGTGGCATTGATTCCCCACGTGGTTAAAGGAGTTTGTTGATGCCCACCCTTCCCTTCCGCTGATCACCAGGCCAATTTTTTTTAATAGACTGTATTTTTACAACAGTTTTAGGCTCACAGCTAAATTGAGCAGAGGATGCGAGGTTTCCCGTAGACTCCCTGCCCCTTCCCTCCACTATCAACACCCCCACCAGACGGGTGCGTTTGTTTCAGTGGATGAGGCTCCATCGGCACATCAGCATCGCGTGGGGCCCATCGTTTACATTAGGGTTCTCTCCTGGTGGGGTAGGATTTTTGACCTGCGAAAGTTGGAGTGTGGAGGGGGTGGGCATGGGCATTTCCGGGATGGGAAGAACATGAACAAAATCAGAAGGGAGGAGGGGCAGAGTTGGATCAGAGCCAGCAGGGGTGCAGTTTGGCTGAGACAGAGCTGGGCGCGGAAGCTGGGCGCAGAAGCTGGGCTCAAGCAAGGCCTCGACAGCTGGGTTAGAAAGCTCGTGCTTCGCCAGGTGGAGACAATGGGAAGCCACAGAGTCACAGCTGGAAGATGCACAGGTGGGGTTCCAGAGGTTGGTGGTGGTCAGCGGTTGGAGCAGGAAAAGCAGAGGAGGAGGGAAGAGGAGGAGGAGGAGGGGAGTGGGGAGAGTTGGGAGGCAGGAAGCAGTTGCAGCCTGAGACAAGGTGACACATGTTTGGCACAGAGAACAACAAGGCATCATTGTGACACTTCAGACATCCTGGCATTGCCAAAGCCCAACCTCCCATGAAATGCCAGGTGCTGATGGATGGGCCTGCTCCTAAGAAGGGAACACCAGCGTAATTAAGAGCAGGGCCAGGTAACAAAGGAAGGCCTGAGGGTGAGGGCAATCTTCTGGCTTCACAGGAGCCAGGCTGTTGTTATTAGAATTATCCATGGTTTTGTTTCTTTTTCTTTTTAGTGCTTTAGGAGTTGTGTGTGTATGTGAATATAATGCAGGGGGACATCAGGTTGCAGAGAGCAGAATCTGATATTTCATGTTTTAAGCCCATACCTATAAAGTTAGGGCGCTGGAGTCAATAGTATGGTTATGGAAGAGGGAACGCAAGCTCGCTGAGGGCTGGCAGGCCTGGCGCTCAGCTCTCCCCCACAGCAAGCAGCTCACCCCACGCTCACATGCACTCTAACAGAGGACTCACTTCCCACATTTTACAGAAGAGGGAACTATGCTCACAGAGGTGATGTTAGCAACCCAAAGTCACACGGCTCAAAGACGCGTGCCAGGCTCTGCACACCGAGAAAGAGGCTTACTTTTTCACTCTATTCTTTCTAGCCACGTTCTAAAGGAGTTGGGAGAATTCATCAGGAAATGCCTGTGACAATCTTTAAAATCCTCAGGTGAACCCGCACATGGATATTTATAGCAGCTTTATCCATAATTGCCAAAACTTGGAAGAAACCAAGATGTCCTTCTGTGGGTGAATGGATAAACTGTGGTATATCTCGACAGTGGAATATTATTCAGCACTTAAAAGAAATGAGCTAGCAAGCCATAAAAAGGCATGGAAAAACCTTAAATGAATATTACTAGGTGAAAGAAGCCAGTCTTAAGGGCTACACATTGTATGATTCCAACTATGTAACATTCTGGAAAAGGCAAAACTATGAAGACAGTAAAAACTCAGGGTTTCCAGGGGTTGGGGGGGAGGGAAAGATGAACAGGAGGAACACAGGATTTTTAGGGCAGTGAAACTACTCTGTAAGACACTACCATTGTGCATACACGTCATTATACATTTGTCAAAACACATAGAATGTATAACATCAAGAATGAATCCTGATGTAAACTACGGACTTTGGCTGTGTAGGGAAAGTGAAGATAAATGGTCAGGGTTCCTCGGGGGTTCAGAGTCTTGCCAAGCATTTGATGTAAATATGCACGTGTGCCCAGGTGTTCCTTGATTATTGTGTAATGTAATTGCGCATGTGCACCCAGGTGTTCCTGGGTTGTCTGACTTGCACCCAGGTGTCCTGGGTTATTGGACTTAAGTATGAAGGATGAGTGACTCTAATCCACAGGGCCCCCCTGGGGCAGGGGGGCCACAGGGATGCCACCACTGCTGCTGCAGCAAGCTGTTGCTGCCAGTGCCCCCAGAGTGTGCTGGGAGGCCATCACTACTGCTGCTGAGGACTGAGCTCGTGTCATCTGACAACGGCTCCCGAGATCTTTCCCAATTACCTAGTTTGTGGACCTGCGTGAGAGGCCTGGTGACCCAGTCTAGCATATGAGGAGTTTGTAACCCAGTCTGTACAACAGGTTTGAAGGGTCTGTGAGCCCTAGCCCTAGCGATACAATTGGCTATGTCGGCAGGACTCTGACAATTGCCCTAGCCAGACAATTAGTGTAGCAATACAGGGTGATAATGATGTCAGTGTAAGTTCGATTGTAATAAATGTACCATTCTGCAGCAGGACGGTGACAGTGGGGGTGGCTGTGTGCATGTGGCGGGGCAGGGGCACATGAGGACAAAGGTGTATCCAGGAACTCTCCGTGTTTCTGTTCAATTTTGCTGTGAACTAAAACTGCTGTAAACAATTTCTTTAAAAAAAAAAAAATGCTTAAGTGACCCAAGTGCAAATTTACATACATGATGGTGTTGGAAGCATTTGATTTCAAGTTCTAGAGCATCTTCTTTCTGATAAGAGAGCCAGTCAGCTGCTTCTGCGGGGTCTCTCCTGTCACTATGTATGCTGCAAATGCCTGGCCTCTGAGGCTCTTCGAACAGTGTGAAGAAGCCGAAGGGAATGGCTTTCTAGCACCACTTGCTTTCCAACTGCCAGCGGCAGGCTGCCCCTGGCGTCTGGTTACCACATGGGGACGTGGCGGCTGTCCCCTGAGGGGCTGGGGCTCCGAGCACAGCTGGGTCCGGATCCCGCACGCGGCTCCTGGCGGGGACCAGGTCTTCAGGCAAAGAAGGCCCCGCAGAGCCGCCGCCTTTCCCAGAGAGCGGGAGCGGACGCCCGACCTCCGGCTTCAATTCACAGCCTCCTGTCGTCCGCGGTGGCGTCTGGCCTCTGCGGGAGCCTGGCGGAGGCGCGGTCGTCGCGCGACCCGAAGGAGGTGGGCGTGCTCACTCCGGTGACCACAACGCCAGCCGCTCCACCACCACCTGCTCGGGGGGCACGACCAGAGCCGGAGCCGCGCGCGTCCCCGCTGACGGTCGCTCGCCGCCCCGCGCGCGTCCCCGCTGACGGTCGCTCGCCGCC